CTTTCTGATACTCTTTTTTCGAAAGTTCAAGCGTAGACTCTTTCAGGTACGTCTCCTAGTTGAAGTCGAGCGTAGACATCTTCTAGTTCAGATAAAATCGGGCGTAGATTTCTTTCTGATGCTCTTTTTGGAAAAGTCAAGCGTAGAATCTTTCCGGTACCTTTTCTAGTTAAAGTCGAGCGTAGACATCTTCTTGTTCAGATGAAATCGAGTGTAGATTTCTTTCTGATACTCTTTTTGGAAAATTCAAGCGTAGACTCTTTCTGGTACCTCTCTAAGTTGAAGTCGGGCGTAGACCTCTTCTAGTTCAGATGAAATCAGGCGTAGACCTCTTCTCGCGCTTGGGGGGCTATGTACTTCCAAAACCTTAAAGGAGGAAGTCGCATGTTCCAACCATCCAAAGAGAGACTAGACTTAAGCGCTTCACCCCTCCAGACCCCGTGCTTGGGAGCTTATGTACTTTCCAGAATAATACATTGAGATCGAGCCGAGAGAGATAACCCACATCAAGAGGCAAACTATCCTGGACTATGTCAAAACGAGGATCCCAACAAAGTCGCCCAAAGGTCCCCCCTAGAGGCCGCCTCTACTAGAGCCTTAAGACATATCGCCAAGACTTGATCGATTCCTCCGACGCCTTTAAGGAACGTTGCAAACATATTTAATAACATTGAATAACTACATGGACATGGAGGAACAAAGAAATAAACATCAATCATGATCGTAAACGTTTTATAATTAGTAGATATTATATATAGATTTATCCCTTCACTGAGAAGGGCAAGCAATCTAAAAACATGAAACACACAAATTTAAATGCGTCTTCTCCCGATTAATTTTTTTAATCATTAATAACATTCAATTTTTTATAATTTTATTTTTTATCGATTTACCATATTAATTTAGATAGAATAGATTTAAAACACTCTATCTACAGTAGATAAGGTCAAACAATACAACATATCCTATTGACTGTTTTCTGAATATAATTGGTAGGGGTGGACAGAAGAGAACCACCCGAAAATACCCGCCCGAACCGAATGGATATAGCAGCTGCGGATCGGGTTATTTCGGATGCACGGGTTGATCGGGTGAGATAATCGGGTAAGCATGGATAAATCAAGTCGGTTTCGGTTCAATTAGTTGGGCCCGTCGGTACTCGAATCCGACCGGTCCAATTTGCGGGTGGTTATCTTCTGTCTACCCCTTCCCCATTCCATCAATTTTCCTCTTTTCATGTAATTTTCTTCTTCTTCTCAGTTCTAAAAGAAAAACCCTAAAAGACAGTAACAATGTTACCACCGGCGCCGTCACCCCAAGCAAAACCCCAAACGTAAACCATCCACTGCGCCGCCGTGTCGTCCTCAACGAAATCTCTTCCACTGAACAACGAGCTCTACCACTGCGCCGCCGTGTCGTTTCTTTGTTTTCAAAGAGGTTTGTGTTCAGATTTTTATTTTTTATTTTGATTTGTTCTTTTTTCCAATGGATTAGAAACTCGGTATTTATTCTAAACTCGTCATTTTCGTCACATAGGAGAAAGCTTTTTTCTGAGTTCAGTTTTGGTGTTGGAGCTATTAAGGTTCATATAAACTCAGTATTTATTTATTTATTTTCGTTTCAATAGTTCAAATACAATGTTCAGTTTTTGTTGTTTTCAATATTTTAATCACTGTTGTTGTTTTCATTACAGTGTTACTGAGAAATCTCTTCAGAGAATTGAAGAAAGTATGTGTTAGTTTTGTTTTATTTTGTTCTAATAACTTTAAAAGAGTTCAGTTTAAATTTGATTAGCTCTAATAACTTTGAATATATTGTTTTAAATGCAAAGAGGTAAAGAAATGCAAGGAGTTGGACATGGGCATGGAGTTGGACATGTGCAAGGAGAGGGAGATGAGCATGGAACTGGTGGAGTTAGAGATATGCAAAATACCGGTAATTTTAGGCTTACTTTGATGTTTTTTTAGTATAATTTTGGCATAGTTTTTTAAAACCTAAACACCAACAAATTGTTTCAGCATCTAGGCAACACACACCAAATGCCAATGAACATTCCCAACCTAATCATCAAACTACAACAATACCCGAACTTCCACCAACTAACCCAAGGAAAAGAAGACGCAATGCAAATGGTAATAGAAAGAGATCCGAGGTTTGGGATCATTTTAACCTTATTCCTAATAGTGACCCACCAACAGCTGCTTGTAAGTACTGCCATCAAAAGTATATGTGTGACTCTAAGAAACATGGAACATCAAACTTAAAGAGTCACATGAAAACATGTCCCAAGTATCCGTTGAACTTGTCCACAGACACTACCCAAACAATCTTGTCATATTCAACAACTGAGGAAATATTAAGTTCTAGGTTTAATCCTGTAGCTTGTCGAAGTGGGTTGGCTTATTTTATCATTTTGGATGAAAAACCATTTAGTACAGTGGAAGGAGAGGGGTTTAAGTACTTTTGTAGGCAGATGCAGCCCCAATTTTCTATACCGTCTAGGCGAACTATAGCTAGAGACTGCTTTCAGTTATATCTTGATGAGAAAGTGAGGTTGAGGGCGTTCTTTAATTCTGATTGTAGTAGGGTGGCAATTACAACCGATTGTTGGACATCTGTCCAAAATCTGAACTATTTGACCCTCACGGCCCATTTTATTGATAGAGAATGGCAATACCAAAAGAGGATAATCAGCTTTACGAGTATCCCAAACCATCGGGGAAAAACTGTTGGTAAGAAGGTTGAAGATGTTTTAAAGGAGTGGGGGCTAAGAAATGTTTCTACCATCACGGTAGATAATGCCACCTCAAATGATGTTGCTGTTAAATATTTAGAACAAAAAGTAAGAAACATGAATGGCCTCTTAATGGATGGATTTGGTTTTCACATGAGGTGTTGTGCACATGTGCTGAATTTGATTGTGAGAGATGGATTACAAGTTGCCAACACCTCAATTTCAAGTGTGAGAAATGCAATTAGGTTTGTTAGATCTTCACCCCATAGGGCTTTAAAGTTCAAAGAATGTGTGGAGTATGCTGGGATTTTATGCAAGAAATCAGTATGTCTTGATGTTTCAACTAGATGGAACTCGACATATTTGATGTTAGATTCCGCGGAGAAGTTTCAAAGTGCTTTTGAGAAGCTAGAAGATGCGGATGAAGCCTATAGGGATTTCTTTGAGGTTGACTCCCCCCCTAGTAGTCAAGATTGGGATAATGTTAGGGTTTTTATTAAGTTTTTGAAGAACTATTATGAAGCCACAAAGATTTTTTCTGTTTCCACAAAAGCAAGTTTGCATACTGCTTTTCCATACCTTGCTTCAATTTACATTGAACTTAAGAGGTTAAATATGGACCTTAATGGATTGTTTGCTGAGGTGGCTAGGGATATGCTGGAAAAGTATAGTAAATATTGGGTTGATATCACAAAGATGAACCAACTCCTTTATTTTGGTGTTATCTTTGATCCCCGATATAAGTTGAGATTTGTGGAATGGTGTTTTGATGATATGTATGGAAAAAATTCGGAAACTAGTAAATCACTATTAAAAGATATAAATGACAATCTTTTAACCATGTTCAACCTTTATAAACAACAATACGACACTGCTGGAGGCTTAATTCCATCTGTTGCAGCGGCTGTTTCTCATGGTGAAACAGCAGCCAGCGATGAATTACCCACATCCGTAGCTAGGGCAAATGCGTTTCAACAACATTTGATGTCTTTGGATGCAGTTGAAGAAGAAACTGAACTTCAAAACTATATAAAAGGAAAGTGCATAAGTTTTAATGAAAAGGATAAAGACACTTTTGACATTCTTGGTTGGTGGAAACATCATGTCGGGAAATACCCAGTTCTGTCCCAAATAGTTAGGGATATCATGCCAACGCCAGTGTCAACCGTAGCTTCTGAGAGTGCTTTTAGCACGGGTGGAAGGGTTTTAGAGGTATATAGAAGCTCTCTCAAACCAGAAATGGCGGAGGCATTAATTTGTGCTCAGAACTGGTTGAGGCCTTCCTTTTACCAATTCAAAGACTTGGAATTCAATGAGGAGTATGAGATTTCGGAAGATGCTTTACAAGGTATTATTTTTATCTTAAGTGTGGTTGTTTAATTTATTTTGTAATATGTTGCTGAAATATTACTTTCATTCCCTGCTGCTCACCTCAATGTCAATGCCTTTTAATATGTGTAATAGGATTTGCTGAAATTTCGTCTGCTCAGACTCAGTCACAGCCTTCTGGCTGTGCTTGAAACAACTTCAGGTTAAAGACTTCCTGAATATTCAGAAGCTAAATTTGCAGTAGTTGTAAAATTGTATGTTTTCTAATGTTTCTAGTTGTATTTGCAGTATTGCTGAATTTTTTGGAGTCTTATGACTCATTATTTTGAAGCCACAACACAACCAACGACTTTTGATCCAAGATACTTTTGAGAGCGTTGTCCAAGAACTAAATATCGATAGTAAGTTTAATTACTTGCTGATTTTTTTGTTTAATATGTGTATACATGCTGAACAGTTTTGATTCTTGCATTAAGACCGCGTCTTCCGGCGTTTTTGAAGGCATAACTGTCAATTTAGGCCTCTGGGATACAGCTGGTATTTTCGCTTTCTCACCCTGTATTTTTCTCTTATTTTCGCTTCAAAGTCTCATTAAAGTTCAATTTTCTTTGTGGCATTAATATGTATATTTTTGGGTTTTAGGTTTTTCTTTCCGTGATTCAGCTGAAAATAGAACTTTTAGGTTCATATTTGCTATTGAGAATTTCTATAGCAGAGTTGGGATCTCATGGAAGCTGACAGGTATTCTTCAAAAAAAAACCAGTTATATTTATTGTATAGCAGAGTTGAGAATTTCTTGTATTATCACAATTGCACGACCGAACCTATAGCGGTTGAGAGACTTGAATGATTTTTTTTTCTTTTTTGTATCAAGTATAATTTGTTGTGTGATATAAACATTCCATTTACCAGATTAAATACCCCAACTACCTTTGAGATGCCATTGGAGGTTTTTGGGCACGAATTGCAATTTGCTCAGGTATTGTACTGTTTTTTAAACTCTTAATTTTAGAGTGGACAGTGCTTTGTGGAAAGTGTTCTTTTCTGCAATAAGTCAATGAAACTTGAGTGCTGCAATTTTAATGCTACAAATTAGTGCAGTTGTTGTTGTATACATATGTCTTTCTATAAAATCTGACAGTTTTATTTTGAATAGGACCCCAATTCTAAGCACCACGGAACTACAGTATGGGATGCATCACTTGTTTTTGCCAAGTTTCTTGTAAGTTGAATATCTTCCTCAAATGCTCGAAAGTCTCGACATTTTTTCATGAATGAATTTGTTAGGTCTTAAGTTGTTTTTTTTACGTTTGGTTTACTCTTTAGATTATCAATTATTAAAGCATATATAATGCATGCCTTATAATTTTGGGGTGTACATGAAGATGAAGTAAAGTGATAAGGGTAAAAACCTAGATTTCCTTATAATAATCACAGAATTTGCTACTGTGACCAGAGAGCCGCAAATTGATTTGCAAGAACTGGTTTGCAGTACTTTTGCGAATTGGTTCGTCCAAATTTGTACACAATTCACAAACCATGGAAATAGCTTAGGAAAAAAAGGGTCTCAAAACCACTTAACTGGATAAAGGACGGCACACTAGTAATTTGTAATAGCATATATAAGTACATATCCATTCCCAAAGCACGTTGTTTCTTTTATGCTGCTCTTATATAAATCTTGCTCCTATTGCTCACAAACTTTAGAAGTGTGATTATGCTAGCTTGTTGGGTTGACAGCTTAAGCTAGAAGGACTTTTGTTATGCTGTTAACATTTCCAATGTGGGTGGGACTATTTTTATCCCATTATCGTTAGCTGTTGTGTTTAGTTTATTTATATTTTATAATAATGTACCAACTTGTACCATATTCCACAAACCAAGAGGAGGTTTTGCCATTGTTACAAAGAAACGTCGATCGTAATACTTCAAGGGTCATGCAAAAGAATCCCGGTTTAGTTTTAAACTTATGAACCATCCTTTTTACCATATGATTTGTTACTCGTTTATTTATGTTGAAGTATTTCAATTGAATGTTGTTGGACCTTGCCATTGTGTTTATTCATTTGTAATTGTGTTTTGTGGATTTGAGTTATGGTAGTATTAGTATCTCACACAAAAATCTTCTGCTTCTAGAGTCATTTGGTTCAATCAAGGTTTCGGTGCTTCAATGGGGAGATGAGAGTCACATTAAGGATGTTGATCCTCCATTTGACTACATTATTGGCACCGACGTTGTAAGTGTTGAACAAGTATTTTTTCATACAAAGTAGTGCGAATAAACTTACTCATTTGACAAACTATAAATGGTCATTTATATGTTATTCTGTTCTGTAACATCATCCTACTTTTTGTTTTACTTCATTGAAGGTTTATGCAGAACATCTATTGGAGCCTTTGTTGCAGACAATACTTGCTTTATCTGGACCTAGGACTACTATTGTGGTATGTCAATCAACTTTTTATACTTATATTATGCCCTTCCTTTGTATAGTTGAGTTGGATATACTGATTTGTTTTATTTGTTTTGAAATTATATATAAAGTTGGGTTATGAGATCCGTTCCACCAGTGTCCACGAGAAGATGCTTCAGATGTGGAAAAAACACTTTGACGTGAAGACGGTTTCAAAATCAAAGGTATGCTATATGTTCTTTCAACATCATATACATGTCTTGGATTGGTAACATTGTTTTCTGACCTATTAACAAATAGGTGAGTTTGGTTCTGATAGAGACCTGAGCATTACAGAGTGTCCAACTCCCACATTGAGTGGTATGAGATGCTCGGTCTAGTATTGAAGTGGGACTGGTTCTTCTCTCTTGCTTGCTAGCTTTTAAGGACGGGTTCTCTGAGTGCTTAGATACTTATCAATTGGCATCGGGTTTGGTTGCTGGTGGCTCAGAGAGTGCAGCCACAGAGACGTCAGCTCTCAAAGGCAGTACTACGGTAGTGACTTGGTTACAGGGCGCTAAAGTCTCACCAAGTAGTATGGGGATGCTTGATGTAGTATTTAATTAGCTTGGTTGTTCCCCTTTGATAGCAAGCTTTTAAGAGTTGGTTCCGTAAGTGCTTAGATTACTTATCAAGCTTCTACTTCACTTTGTGCAGATGGATGAAACATTAGCATCAGACTGTCACGATGATAAAGATCAGGTAGCGTTTAATTTTTGAATGTTTTGATTTTGCTTTTTGAAGTTGTGACTTGTGAATGCTGTTCTGAAATGCGAAGTGTGACTTGTGAATGTGTTATTTTATTGTTGATTGTGTGACTTCTGAAATGAGAAGTGTGACTTATTATTCTTTAATTTATGCCTGCCTGTGAAATTATGACTGAAAAATGGACTTTTAAGTTACTCTACTTGGATGTTAAAGAAGGGAATGGGGTTTATGCTTTTTATATATCTTATATAGGAACTGCTTTCATGTCCTGTCATTATAGCTTTAGACAAGATTCATAAGGGCTTTAGTTGTTGGCATGATGCAAGAAAAGAAGAAATAGATTTTGTGTCCCAGCTTCTGTTGTTTTAATTTTGAATAGTAAAGATGCTAATATATACTTCATATAGTTCATGAGTGAGAATTGGTGAGTACCTCTCATATAGTTCATATGAAGTCAAATACTGTAGTTCCAATTTACTTTAATTTTTTTGTTAATTATGTTTGCAAGTGCCATAAATATCTGTAATTACTATACTATTTAGTTTAGCAATTGTTTGTCCATGTTTAGCTTGAGACTGTTTCATACGGAACAAATAGCTTTTATGCAGGAGTGCAGGAGTGCAAGAAGCTTCCCGGTTATTTTATGGAATGGATTAATCTCAAAGAATTGGAGTTTATATGTTGGTTGTGTTACTATGTAGGCTTTGTTAAATTTAATTGAATTTGTAATGTATTTGATACCTATTTAAATTGGAATTTGTAATCTATTTAAATTGGAATTTTTAATGTATTTGAATTGGAGTTTGTAATGTATTTGAATTTGATACTATGTTAATTTGTAATGTTTTTTAACTATGAATTTATATTATAGAGTATGTCATTTTTTTTTTTGGAAATTTTAAGTAGTTAAATGAAAATTTTGAAAACTGTACAAAAAAAAGGGGGTAAAACTACTAAATTCTGAATTTGGGCTTAATATTTCAATAAGCCCATTAAAAATGGTACCCGAAATTAATCCTATAGATACCCGAAATCGATGCAACCCGAACCCGACTAATCCGAATCATAATTGGGTCGGATTTGGGTCGTAATATACCACCCGTGGATAACTTCGGATTGGGGGTTTGGGCCCGAACCCGAACCGGCCCGAACCGGTGCCCACCCCTAATAATTGGTCTAATTTTTCGTAAAAAAAGATTGGTCCAATTCTTAAATATTATTCAAAATATATGCATATCTAGTTCTTGGTCACTCATCTAAAATATATAATATTTACAGTTGAATAACTCTACATTTGACCATGACCATATTTCCATCTTTGTCAGCTTTTTTCTTCGAGAAGCATAATGTAAAATATATAATATTTCATCTTCGCCACTTATGGATTGGCACCCATCCGAATTCTACAAATTAACAAGAACTTTTACCAGTCTTAAAGCCAACTTAAACTGATTTTTATAAGCAAAGCCAAATTAGGCTTTATTGTAGATTTAATCCTCTATTTTAACTAGCTGGCGTAGTTCACATTTCCATTTTAAATTTTAATTTGGGTCTCTTCCTCATATGTTTTGCTTTTGATGTCAAATAATTTTAATAAATTAATTTTTATATTACATTAAATTTTTAAAAATGTGATGTTTTTGAAATTCAAATTAAAGTCTTAAGATTTTCGTTAGTACAATTTCATGGATATTGATTAGTTAATATACCGTATATTTTCAATAAAAATAGGAAAAAACCAAAATTGTAGAACTTTTTAATAAGGAACCATTTTATTAATATATAAAATTAAAATAATAAAATTGTAATTAAACCTTAAGATATATAATGATTTATATCATGTTGTTGCTTTTAATTAAAATTATATTTATATATACATAGTTTTAGAGATACGTCTAATTGTAGATATGATTTATATATTATATTTTCATGTTGTTATCTTTATTATACATAGTCAGTTGTAATAGACAATCGACAATCAACACAAAATTTTGTTGAATTCCTATGACATTGATCAAATATGTAATAATGTAAATGTTATGTCATTTTTCGGAAGCAATATGTTGTATGATTTTAGTACAATGTCAAATGAGTAAGGATTGTTGTATTGTCACTTGTATGCAGTGAAAAATCAGCAAAAGTTTTCACATTTTTGTGACCATGAAATATATGAACACTTAAAGAAATATCTATGAAAATAGTGGACACAATGATTAGAAAAAAAATTAATTTTATGTGATTACAAGAAACTAAGTGAATGGGTGAAAAAGAGAGAAAATTAAATAGTTCAAGATTTATGTTTTAGTACACTTAAAAAGTTAGATCCAGAAATGAGGTGCAAATTATTGCAAGCAAGGAGTGAAAAAGGTATATTTTAGATGTAAAAGGGGTATGAGAGTATATCATAGTCTTGAAACTTGCAGTGGAACAAGACACCATTAATGCTATTAGTGCTTACGCATCTTATGTTGGATTATGTACCTGGTAAAAGCATAATATGTGACAACCTCTTGCAATGTAAGGTTGTTAGAAATTTTTAAGGTTGCTGTTATGTTAGAGCAAGCTCACATAGAGATGGGGAGAAGCTATTTATGTGGTGTTTGTATAATAAATCGAATATATTTTCAATCTCAGGGTTGGGGTATTTATAAGAAACTTTTGGGCTCGAGTCTTAGATTTCAATAAGATAGATTCTACACTTTTGATGCCTCCGCAAGTGCACATAATTATTGAAGTAATATACAAGATTATCAAACCTACAAAGACCAATAGTTAATCATATTGCTATCTACTATTGCTTTGTAAATCTAATGCTATCTTAGATGCAAAAGAAATTTAAAGTAAGAAATAAAATTTTAGGTAAGAAAATACTAATTAAAGCGAGACTAGAATGTAATTTATGTTGTTCTTATAGGACTCAATAAATATCAAAACTTTTATTCTTAATTTATAAAATATATTTCAGAAGAAAATATCGACTTAAAAATACTGCTCACTCTCGCACAACCCATATTATGTTTCAGAATCGTAACTGCTTTGTTGTCGCTTACTCAATTACGGGTTCAAAACACTTTTTGAAAACCAGTAAGTCCTAATTAATCACTAAAGCGCTCTCGTTGTTTTTAGAAAATTAAATCTAATTTTTACTATTCGGTTGGGTTCTCACACAATCACATTATTAATCGATAAATTTATATTTTCGCTCTCGCGCAAAAAAATTTGACATTAAAAACATAAAAACCAGAACCAAAAAAATAAATTAATTAATAAAGATAAGTGCCGATAATTTTACCGAGTCCTGTCGAAACGATGGTCCTCACATCTCGGACTCTAGAAACTTAGTCGGGCATAATTGACATGAAACTCGTGTTATAATTATTTTTTATACAAAATAACAATACAAACATGATGATGATGATGATGATGATGATGATGATGATGATGATGATGAATACAAGTAATATGTTAAATTAGTTATGTAATATATATGTCTAGAATAGTACATGCTGTTAAAACATTATTTGGTTCTACATCCCAGTAAGAGTTTTAATGATAACAAACACATGATATAAAGAACAAATATGCTCGCTAATAAAAGTATCTTTACATGCAGGAAGTTATGATATGAAAAAGATGTTCTGATGCAACTAGAAGCTCTTCCAGAACATCACTAGAAGTTCTGATTATGCGAGCATAGAAGTTGAGAGTACCATGATAGATTCAGACGCATCAAATCTGTGTGACACACTTATATGAAGAATTTTTGTTACAACTTCTGAATGCACCAGCGCTGTGAAACAGGATCTCTGATACTCTGATTTGCAAAGTTCTGATACAAGCTGTAAAGGACTCTCAACGGTAATATTCATCCTCTGATGTGAGAAGTTCTAAAGACTTACAATTCCATCAATGCTATATCATAAGTAACGGCTACAAACAGACAAGGATCTTCTGGTTTGGAAAGTTCATTAACTCATATTATGGACATACCAAAAGTATCTTCTTATGTCACTATTGCATGGCCTATATAAACAGGCAAAAAGAAGATTTCTAGTGATGAACTACTGCATACAAAAAGAAGAAATCACATGAAGCTACAACAATGCAGCAATCATATTTCATCTGTAAACACTCATATTTAAACTGTGTAAAACATCACTGTTAGTGATACTGTTTTAGTAGAAAACACCATTATACACATTTATTCAATTAACTGTTTAGACATTTCCTTGAGAAAATCAGGTTGTGATTTTGGACTCAAGAAGACTTTGGCAGTAGTCAAAGTAGTTGTGTAATCAAGTTTGATTAGTGAATTAAGACCTCATTGAAGAGAGGCGAAATCACCTTGGCGGGTGGACTGGAGTAGTTTGAGTTCAAACGAACCAAGATAAAAACCAAAGTGTTCTTTCCATTGTATTTCGTGATTCCAATTCAACCCCCCCCTTCTTGTGTTTTTTCACTTCTTCAATTGGTATCAGAGCACTTGAAACTGGGTGCAAACACTTAACCGTGTTAGAAAAATATCCAAGGAGGAAAAACATTATGATGGGAACAAGTCAGAACATCAGTAGAAGCCCTCCAATATTTGATGGTGAAATTTTGACTACTGGAAAGATATGATCAGAAGTTTCTTCCTAGCCTATGACACTGACCTATGGGATATGGTGACTGATGGATACATACATCCTATTGATGAAAGCAGTCAGAAGATGTACAGAAAAAGAATGTCAGATCATCAAAAGCAAGACTTCAGAAATCATCACAAGGCCAGAACTATTATCCTAAGTGTCATCTCGTATTCATAGTATGAGAAGATAACAAACAGAGAGACATCAAAGCACATGTTTGATTCTCTGAGAATGACGCATGAAGGCAACACACAAGTAAAAGAAACCAAAGCCCTTGCGCTCATTCAGAAGTATGAAGCCTTCAAAATGGAAGAAGATGAAACCATTGAAGCAATGTTCTCAAGATTCCAAACTCTGGTTGTTGGGCTGAAAGTTCTAGACAAAGGGTATTCAACTGTTGATCATGTAAAGAAGATAATCAGAAGTCTACCAAAGTAATGGAGGCCCATGGTCACTACTCTCAAACTGGCAAAAGATGTTAACAAGATATCTCTAGAAGAACTTGTCAGCTCACTCAGAAGTCATGAGATAAGTTAGAAGATGATGAGCCCTTGAAGCAAGGTAAGTCTCCCGCTCTGAAATCTAATAAATATGAAACCAAATTTTTGCAGGCAAAAGCAGAAGAAGAAACCTCTAGTGGATCCTCATCAGAAGAAGACGAAATGTTCTTTCTATCCAGAAGAATCAATCAGCTGTGGAAGCACAGGAAGAAGAATTCCAGAAACTCCAGAAGAACAGGAAATGACTTTGAACAATCTTCTGGATACATAAAATCCAGTAACAAAAACATTACCTGCTATGAATGCAATAAATAAGGTCACTACGAAAGTGATTGTCCAAGGCTTCAGAAAGAGAAACCAAAAAGGAAGTTCATTAAGGAGAAGAAGAAAAGTCTTATGGCAACATGGGATGACTCTAAATCTTCTAAAGACGGAACAGAATCAGAAGATGAACAAGCCAATATAGCTCAAATGGACAACTTATCAGATGTCTCTGAATCCTCTGAATCAGAATCAGACTCAGAGTCAGAAGAGATATTTTCTAACTTTTCTAGATCTCAATTAGAGGAGAGTCTGTCAGAAATTCTAGAAAG